GTACATGGAGGTATCGCGCAACTACCTTCTGTCGTGGCAGCCCGACCGTCCAGGATGGCCGACGACCAGACCGCTCTCGCCCATTTCGACAACCGCCAGCTTGCAACGATGGCAGCGCACCCCGTAGCCGAGGAGGGCGACTACAGACCCACGCGGGCTGTGGTTGATCAACTGCGTCGCAGCCTTGTTATTCGCATCAAGATGGAGATCCGATACCATTCGAAATCCGATGCAGCCCTCTTCGCGCCCGCCTGCTTCCAGAGGGAGGTCGCCGACGGGTCCGCCGGCAAAATCAGCGAGTCGAATGAGGGCGATCTACGCGGCAGCGAGGGGCCGCGCGAACGCGCAGATGCAATGGGGAACAGGGGCGTCTACGGCGGGCCCGAGCACCAGGTCGCGCCGTCTGCAGTTCCAGCATCGCCAGGTGCCGCGCATCGACGATGCCATCCACAGGATTTCAAATCAACGTCTGCTCTCTGATACGTACCCGCTGATGGCCCCCGACCACGGTCAAGCAAACCAGCCAGCGTCGACAGCGCTCATGGTGATCGGGCCGACAGCGACGAAGCTCCAACATAACGCGGCTACCCCAACACGAGTGGCACGGATCAGGCACCTACCGCTCGCGGCTATGCTGGATCGAAAGAGGACGACGCAGGGCGCCGCGGCGTAGACGAAGCCCGCGCCCGCGCCGCTACCACTCAGGGTGACGACCAGGCGGAATGGAAGCCATGGCCGACGATTGCCGAAGTGTGTCAGATCGACCAGTTGGCCAGCCTGGCGAATCAGGGGCCTCTCTCGTCATCGCCTGCAGCCAGCGAGGCATGGGCCTCGCGGCGGGACTGGCCTGGCGGCGGCCCGCCAGTGCGTCATCCCTACCACGGTCCAGTGATGTTCATTAATGTTGCTCCGACATACCGACAGCAGACTCGTCGGGCGACCAGCTGTTCCACTTCTGTTTTTTTTCCGCGGCGTTATTTTTCCACCATGCAGGCGCATTCATTGGACATTCAGCAGCAGCAACCTCGGGCCAACTGACGAGTGTATTCTCCGACTCTTTCTGGCATCTTCCACGGCCGTGCGGCGAGACGACGCCATGAGGTGGACGCGTCAGCGCACGCGTTAATGTGCCCCCCGCGTGGAGTTCTTCACCCACGGTTTGTTCGATCAAAGGTGAGCCATGCGCGTGTGAGGCCGTCCCTCCGCCGACCTCCATTCCCTGCCGGCCCCCCTTCTTTGCATCCCACTAACCTCATCATTCCTCTCTTGTGTCGGCGGGGATGGTGGGGTTCTTGGGATGTGGCGTGGGCCGGGGGACAGGGTAACTCGTCGCCTGCCACCGCGGCGAAGGCCCTGGTGGCCGCGATCCAGCCGCGCCAGCCAGCCAGCCACCCTTCAACTAGATTGCAGCGTGTCGCTCGCCTGACCCGTACTCAACTAGCCTCGCCCGCCGTCGCCTCGTCCCCTCTTTGCGCCTGCGGCCCGCAGGCATCACCCGGCAACCCCTCGACTCTTCTTTTGCCCCCTAGGGCCGTCACGTTACAACGCGCTTGTCTGCGTCCCGAATGCCCGCCCAGCCACCCCGTGCACTGCAGCTGCCGCGGGGCATCGTGGGGGTGGGACCGTGTCTCGCCGAATAACGAGCTACCGCCGCGAAAGGCATAAACCTCCCCCGCGCACGGTGAAACTTCCCGGGCGGCCACCAGCCTCGCGGTCTGGGCACCCTGCGCCTGCTTGGCATCGGAGGGTGCCAGTCGCGGGGCTGGTGGTCACTTGGGGGAATGTCCTATGTGCAGGGGGAGAGGATTTCATGCCTCCCCCCTCGGCGAGAGGGGCCGGCCACAAGAACTTCGGCCAGAGTGGCCGACCGCCTACCCCCGCCGGGAAAGGCTCAAACCTCCCCCGCGTTCGATGGACCCCCCACACGCTGCCCCGAGGTCAACGGCCTGGGACCCTTACGCCTGCTTGTTGGCGAGGGATCCCGTCGTTGATCTGGGGGGCGCCTGTTTGGGGTTTCAATTAGCGTGGGGGAAAGGTGCTTGAGTCTTTCTCCTTGGCGAGCGTGGGCGCGGATCACCGCCGCCACGCCGTTGTGATACAGCCTGGCCCAGCACAACCAACGAGTCTCGCCTGCTGTCATTTCGTTCCCTTCCTGCGCCCGCGGCCCGCAGCATTGTCCAGCAGCACCCAGCTTCTGCAATTATCCCATATTGCTGGCGACCCCTGGAGCTTTGCTCCAGGGGCCGCCTGGCATTAGTTTGATCACCCCCCCCAGGGCCGACCGGCCCTGGTGTGTGTGTGTGGGGGCAGCATCCGACGGAACCTCAGGCCGTCAGCTCTTCAGCTCGCCAGGGACATGGAGGAAAAGGAGGAAGGGACGGTAGGTGTGGGGCGGGTGTCGGGGGGGGGATGCGGAGGTCGTGCACGATGGGGGGGGAGGGATGTCTTTCGAGGGGACAGGACCGCATGGGGGATGGGAATAAGGAGGATGGGAGCTGCAGAGGAGTAATAGGAGAAAGGGTGATGCTAAAAGAGGAGGAGGAGGAGGGAAAAGAGGAGGAGGAGGATGAGGAAAAGAGGAACAGGAGGGCGAAGACGATGAGGAGGAGGCCGGGGCCGGTGAGGAGGAGGAGGAGGACTATGAAGAAGAAGACGAGAAAAACACCGAACAATAAAATTAATGATAATCATAAAACCAATACTAATACTAATACGAATCATCATAATACTACGAAGAATAATATTAGTATTATTAAGGCGAATCTTGTGAACATGTGCAGGAGAAAACGCATACGCATTAAACCATATGACGAATAACAGTAAGCACATGGCCATAACAGTACGAGTAATGTCAACGTGAAGATTTTTTTTTCAGAATGGGGATGCTATTACAGTGTTTACAGTAGTCATAACAATAAAACGCATAATAAGAAAACGGATACATTAATACCAATGAGAAACATGTGACAGTATTCCCAGTAATAAGAACAACGGCGAATACGACTTCTACTAGTAATAATATCGATACTAACGATACGAATGCTAATGCGAATAATGGCAAGAAACATAATGAGACGAAGAAGCCAAATACTGATAATACTAGTGTAACTACCACTAGTGTTATTACTAGTAAGAATAATACTATTACGAAACACAGTCGCAATAATACCCAGAACAATAATACTGACAGTCAGAAAAACAATACGATTCTTCAGAAGAGGACACATAATAATGATCATGCTAATAGGGTGAATCATGCTAACGCCAAGAAAATAGTATCGACATGATTAATGCTAATAGCAATACTAGTAGTAATGGAACTTGCAACATACGATCGATTATGTTTACACACCGTATGCATTATGCTAATATCAAATGTGGTCAGCAGTATTAATGCCTGTTATCTATAGTAGTATCACTTATACTTATGTTAGGAATGGTAGCAGTACATAAGCATACAAGTATTGATGCTGATGGTGATGCTGGTGGTGATGGTGACGATGCGAATAATAGTAGTATTCGTACTAACAATGACAGCACACATAAATTTACGATTAATGATCTCATGCTTAATATGAAAGTATTTTCAATTCCTAAGACACGTAATTCACATTCGGGTAATATTGATAAGACTACTGATTACTCATTGCAATACTAACTACGAGTGATATTCATGATGCGAATACTACTAATCCTTTTATCCTGAAGGGCTTCGCCCCCTGCCGATGGCCCCTTTTCAATCAGAACGGGGTTTGCCAGAGCTATGTTGAATTTTCTCGGCGCCGTCGTGAAACAATGCCGGAACCTCATGCTGGGGCAATTGGTAAGTGGCAATTCATATCTACGAGGTTGTATAGCCTCGGGGATATTGCGTAATTTACGGTTTGTGGATTCGGATGCGCGATCATCGCGTAATTTACAAGGGGTTATGGCTTCGGGGACGCGACTATTCCGTAATTTACTTGGGTTTATGGTTTCTGGGGCGCGAACATTGCGTAATTTACGAGGGATTGGCTTCGGAGACGCGAGTATTGCGTCCACTAAAAAGGTTTATGCATGGCTTCGGGGACACGAATATGGTGTAATCTACTAGGGGTTATGGCCTCGGGGACGCGAATGTTAGTAGTTTTACGTGTCCCACACTCCCCCAGGAATTCTGAGAACCCTCCCAGGGCGTGGTAACAAATCCCGTTTGGGGCTCCCGCCCCTCGCGCGGACAGCAACAGTTAAAAGTAAGGAAACCGAAAGCAGTAACAGTGGAAGCTGGAAGCTGCAACTGGAACGGGGAGCTGCACTCTTCACCCTCGCAGCCTGGTGGCCCTGCAAGGGGGCCGGCGGATGTTGATATTAGTATTATTTCGAACATGGATGATCTGATCAATGATAACAATTATTTTTAACTGGCATTAGTAATCACAGTCTTACTGCTACTACTAATCGACACAACCGCATTACTAGTAGCATCAAAAAGCAATGGTGCCAGTACTATTCGCAATGCTAATCATAGTATCAATTATAATGGGAATAGTGCTACGAACACGAATGCTACTACCAGTACTAATCAAATCGCTAGTGATAGTACTAATGACGGCACTATTAATAACACTAACAACAGCAATTACGCTAGTAATATTATCATTTTTAGTAACGCAAATTAAGCACACCTATTATGACGACCAAAACTAGTACTCATCAGTATAATAATGCGAATAACAGCACTAAACCATAATAATGATAGTCATGCCCCGATTCATAAGACTATAAACATACTAGGAGGAAGAGGAGGAGGACGAGGAGGAGGAGGAAGAGGAACAGGAGGAGGAGGAGGAGGAGGAGCAGGAGAGGG